GAGGTGGAAGAGTGTATGAACTCTTCTCACTTTATATGCAAACTTAATAATTTTCACGTTGAGTAAATGGACAAGGATGAAATTTAAAAAAAATAGGAGTTGTGATGTGAAAGTATTCTATCATGGTAAATATTTTATTTACGTTTATATCAAACTAAGTAATTTAATTGTAACATTTAAAAATTAAAATAAGAATACACATCAATTAACCATGACACGTGATAAATGGTAGTGTAAGAACGCTACCGGGTGCTAGTAAGTTTTTGCTATTCTATCATTTGGCTGAAATTGAACCTCATCGGTTTATCCCCATAATAAATACTAGAAAACTTAGATGTCTGAACTAATATAGGGCCGTAGAGAGTATACATTGGCTTCGATGCCTCTATCTAATCTGTTACAGTATTATTATTTTGGAAGCAGCCACTGATGCTTGTATTAGGCAGGTTGTCTACATCACACCCTTTAGGAAACAGCCTTTCCCCCGATCCTCGTGAACACAGAATGCCATTGTTGTCGGAGAATGAAAACCACAAGTGTACAAAAAGCTGAAAAATCAAAAAATCACTAATCATTGTCTAAAGATTTTAGATTATTATTGAGTAGGAGTAGAGCGACTGGGCCGGACAAGATCCCGGTGGAATTCTGGAAGAGTGTGGGCAAGGAGGGCTTGGAATGGCTTGCTAGGTTGTTTAACCTCATTTTTAGGACGAAGAAGATGCCCGAAGAGTGGAGGTGGAGTACGATGATCCCGTTGTACAAGAACAAGGGGGATGTGCAAAACTGCAACAACTATAGGGGTATCAAGTTGTTAAGCCATACGATGAAAGTGTGGGAGAGGGTGATTGAAGGGAGATTGAGGAGGTGTGTGTCCATTTCTGAGAACCAGTTCGGTTTCATGTCGGGACGGTCGACTATTGAGGCCATACACATTGTGAGGAGATTGGTAGAGCGGTATAGGGCTGCGAAGAAGGATTTGCATATGGTGTTCATTGACCTGGAGAAAGCCTATGACAAAATACCGAGAGAAGTTCTATGGAGATGTTTGGAGGCGGGAGGTGTGCCTGTAGCATATATTAGAGTGATCCAGGACATGTATGATAGGGCTAAGACACGGGCCGGGCTGCCCTTTATATTGAAAGAATAACATACATGAGCTACTTTGAGCTATACTTCGAGAAACAAAATTTGACGTGCTATAATTAGGGTAGATCAATTCATAATTTTTGAAGAAAAAAAGTGCTTTTGAGTAGAAGCAAAATAATTTTGGAGAAGCAGAAAAAAGTAGCTTCTCCCCAAAAGTATTTTTGAGAAAAATACACGTAGAAGCACTTTTTAAAAGCTTGACAAAAACTAATTGGTGCTCAAAAATACTTTTCAAATTGATTAGCCAAACACAAACCGCTACCCAACCAAAAGCACTTTTCAGAAAAATATTTTTGAAAAAAAACACTTCTCAAAATAAGCTCATTTTAGAAGCTTGGCCAAAAGGCTATTAGTCAATCTCAAAAGTTGCTAATTCTCAAGGTTTATAGTTAAGACCTTACTAATATTTTGAGAGGTGTGTGGATACAGAGTCTTATTTTTAAAGGAGAGATAAAAGGTAGTTTAGACAAATATTGTTTAAGACTATCAAATATCTTAATTACTTAAGAAATGTGTAGAACTTTAAAACGCAGATAATATAAAACGAAATATAATACAAATTTCGAGAAGATAAACTTTAATCCAATTAACAAGATTCATATGGAATGACTGAAAGTAGCA